TTGTGAAGTGAACTAGTTGACTTCAAAATTTTAATCTGAACTAGAAAGAATTAAAATTTCAATCTGTCCTAGTTCGATTTAAAACTGAACTAGATTTTAATTTGTCCTACGACATATATATTAAAAACAAGAATTATCAACAAAAAAAAGCGAATAATGTTATTTTATATTAAGAGAAACCATAATGTATTTGAATGTATAATTGAAATAGATTAAATATCGTTGGATTGTGAATTGTAAACAAATTTAAGTTCTTCTTCCTTTAAAATATAACCTCTCATCAGTTTTGCTTCCTCATCTTCTCGCATCACTGAAAGTTTCAGCTCAATTGCTCTTCATCTATCATATATATATAGTAATTTTTTAATGCACATGTGTTTTTATGCGAGAATCACCGTTAGAACTTGTCACATCTTCAACCCGATTCTATTACCTCATTACATCTATTGTCTCTGTAAAACATATATTAAGTCAAAACACTTGGTAAAACTAGAACATTCTAAAGCAAAAGCATAAATTTTGATAATCAAAACATTGTTATCATTTAACTAAGGTCTATCTAAAAAAAAAAGAGTCGCAAGAATCGCTGGCTCCAACTGTCTTATTTAAAAAAAAAACAATCTATCTCAATGAGCTAACAGAATGGCGTTGAAGATGTGAAAAGCACTAGCAATGAATCTCACATAAAAAGACATACTCAGTAAAACTGTTATAATCTCTGGAAGAAGAAAAGAAATGGAACTGAATTTTTCGGTGGTATTCAAAAAGTTTCAACTGAATCTTTCGTAACATGGCGGATATTATGTTTAATAAAGCTTCATAAAAGAGTAAAATACAAAGATTTGATGATAAAATTTCTTTCTCTTCTATATAAACCAGCTAAACACAAAATTAAAAATCACATTTATCAGAACGAGTTTTCGTGACATGCATCAATAATTGTCCTAGATTTCCGTGCACATACAGTTAAGTTTATGCATTCATACTCGTAGAATTTGAATATGCTTGCAAGAATATCGTAGAATAAATAAAAAATAAATTTTGTAATAAGTATACATGATTGAATGTCAGTTGTAAAATTAGAAATAATCTGCTTTATTTTATAGGGTGAACTTCTGTACCACTTCACCAACGAGTTCATTTTCGAAGATAAATACACAAAGATACATCGAAGAGAAAACTATAACTTTCCTTAGCACATCATCTGTACTACAAAATAGAATCAATCTATTTCCCATTTCACAGATTATGATAGACATTTCAAGTATGTGAGAAGACGTGCATGTAGATTACAGTGTTGATATGAACTCGTATATGAAAACACATGCAGAAATGAGATACGAATGTAAGCTCCGACAAAAAAGACTGGAATAGACACAAATATATATATATATGTATGAACAAGTTGAAAAAATCCTAATTGCATCTTACATTAATACGCTTGGAAAAATCTCCTATACGACATAAAAACAAATGGTGAGAAAAATCTAACATGCGACATATGCAAATGTTCTCAAATTCTGTATTTCAGCAAGAACGTTAAACTCTTCTTCCTATGTTCTTCAAAGAAATTAAATATCTATCTTGAAAGAAATGTTCAACATCATTACCTATTCCCTTTTCTTTGTCAAAGTTGCCGTCTCACAAAACACACAAAACTATGTTTTTTTTTAGTCATAGTTGAAGTCCTTCCCCGATTTACTTTTTTCGAATTCATGCGACAGACATAGTGTGTACTGTTCGTAATAATGTGTTTCTGCCATTGTTCCTGTTAATACAAAAGTTTACCTATATTACATGGTATCATTGGTTTTCTCGAATGTATTCTTGGTATAATGCGTCTTACATTTTTCTTTTCATCACCTTCTTCGTCCACAAACGTTTCATCCAGTACAAATACAGGAAATATCAATAAGAAAATATATAATAAGAAATATGTAGTAGTATTTATTATTGATTGGATCAGTTCAATCGTACCCACATTAGTTGGATTATTTACTATGCTAATTATTCTTGTAATATTATATAAAGTATGTGCTTGGTTGATTAACAGCTATAATCGACAACATGGAAATAATGAAGATGAAAGTAATACAAATAGCATACTAACTCATTTATTAAAAAACAAAGCATTGCGTCGTTTTCTTATAGTTGATTGCAACTGTCCGATGTTATAAGTCTGGACCTAAACGACGATTTCAAGTACGGCTTGCTTTAATTATTCTGATTTTTATTTTACGTATTGTGACTATTGGGCTCTATGCATCATCATCCGATGATAACTATGATGGTGGAATATTAGCTCCTATTTGTGCTTTTTCACTTATCTTTTTATTTACTACATTTTGTCTAGATTTATATCGTTATTGTGTTTGGTGGCATTATACACCTTATGGTGATACTCGATGTCATTGTCGATCGAAACAACATGAACGATATATACTATATCATATGGTAGGTGATAATCGTAATCCAAGATTATTAGGTGATCGACCGTGTCGTGAACAATCGTGTCATAAAAGAAAACTTGATCATATTGTAGTATTTCATTCGGCAGATTATCAGCCACAGGATTGTTGGAGAGATATTCCCAAGCCACCAACTGAGTTGCATACAACTACAAAGAGACTTTTTTGCTTAAATTTTCAAAACAAAGATAATCAACCTCATTATGTTGGCTTTCATACGACTACATCTGAAGCTGCTGTTTCAATTGCACATAGTGAATTTCAACCAAGTACTGGTGGATGGCTCGGTGCTGGTGCTTATTTTGCTCAATCAGTCGATGGAACAATTCGAAAAGCAAGAACTGGTGGTGGTGCTTATATTATTGCTGAAATTCCCATGGGTAAAGTATACGAAGTTCACCGAAATCTTATACACAAAAAACATACATTGTTCAATCGTCAAGTGTATGACTTTGTTCATCGATCAAAATGGCAACATGATTTTGACACTTGTTATATGATCCATGAACATGATGATCGTGATGAATTTGTTATTAAAGATCCTGAAAGACAAATTGTGAAATGGGTCATTGTAGTTGAACAACCATTCGATTATAAAGTAGCAAGATATCAACTCGATACAGAATTTGATTCTACGAAATGTGGTTGTATTTAAGACAGAAATCGTCAAATGAATAATGCATCCTAATTAAATGAAACAAAATCTTGTTTTTTAAATAGTCAAGGGATATTTGCACCAAATAAAGATCTATTTCAATCTATCACGCGATAAGGAAGTTTCAATAGTATTTCTTCGCTATTCATTTGTGAAAGACGATAGAAATGTGTGAATCGTTTCTATACAATTGAAGAAGGACGATGCTTAATTAAGATTTCAAGGATGGGTGGAAGTATAGATATAGGCGGATGAATGAAGAGAAGAACCACACCCATAACACATTCGATAGATACTGTAGAATTTAAAAGTTACCCAAAACGATGCGTCACGAAGAGAATACAGCGAATTATTGCTTTCTATGCTCTACTGTTACAACTAAATAGTAAACGTTAATAAATGTCGTCATGACGAAATAATTGATGTTACAATAATTATTTACCTTTCATATGACAACGAAAGCGGCTTCCTCTCGGGGTTGAGTTTATTCTTTTCCGGATAGTCAATTAGAGTGTGAAGGGTCGCTTGCGGTTCAAATTATACTGCTAGACTTCATTCTGACTGTGCGCGGCGTAGTCAAAACCCGATATTATCAATCTCCTATATTGTCAGGTAACGTTGCACTTACCCACAAAATTTCTTTCTCTTGTTTCTCTGTATTGAATGGTATATAAGAATATGACAACAAATTATTCTTTTCATTTTTTTTCTAGTTTCACACCGTTTGCTTCCATTTACAATATAGGAACACTCATGACAAAACTCCCTCACTACATTACTCGATTGACTATTTAAAGCTCTACAAAATGATACTATTGTGTTGAGTCTAATTTATGGTCAATACACTTTAATCAAATGTACAATGCTCATGAGTGTCGAAATTTACCGTTTTTGACAAATATTTAATCGGTTTTGATCAGAATTGAGATTACATCAAAAACTTAAGTCAGTCAAAAACATCGCCTTTATTATTTATTCATTTTTCGTCTTGCATTTCTCTAGATTTTTGAAATTTATTTTTTGATATAACTCACCTTTCGTGCTGATTTCAAAATTATTCTTTTTTTTCATAGGAAGCCCGACTGTTCTGACTAAAAACGATTTGGATTAATCATAAACTAGATTCAACAAAATTCTAGTATCATTTTGTAGAACTTTAAGAAACCTATCGAATGATACATAGTTCAAAGTAGACCGTTGTTTGAACAGTTCAACAGTGAGAAGCACTATGCTCCCTTAAAAAAGTTTGAACGTGTTTCCTAATATCTTTAATTGATACTATTAAGGATGGGATTTGAGGATCAGTGTGAAGCAAAAACTGCTTTCCGCATCCATCCACATAAGAAAACACACTGCCTTGTTGGTAGTTTTGTTGTTTAATATCTTTCGTACACTATTATTTCTTGCTGATGTACTTCTACATCTCTCCTTTTTTTTGCATGTAATAAAACATTTTTAGTCTCGCCAGTCATGAATCTCAATATAAATTTGTTTGACTTTCTTTTTTCGCCAAATTAATGCCATTCGTTTTTTCATAGCTCTCCTCATATTGTAAGTGTAAGCGAACAATTTTATATAATATTCGACAGAGTAAAGAAAGAGCTTTCATTTTTGTATGATAGTTAAATGAAAGGAATTGAAACAGAGAAAGAAACTTTTCAAGTAAATATAACATTGCATGCGACCATAGTAGATCGATAAATATCGAGTTTTGAATCAGTCACACGCAATTGGAATGAAATCTAATAGTATAATTTCAACGGCAACCAACTGCTTACGCTCGGATTAACTACTTGGAAAATAATAAACTGAGCGTCGAGAAGAGACCCATTTCATCGTTTGACAGCTGCCTCCTTGCCACTTTTTCTTCTACGGTTCTGTCTCTATGCATAGAAGCCAAAATAAGTTGAGAGATTCTTCGTTTTATTTTTATATAAAAGAAGAATTTTATCAAATAATCGTATGAGTTTCTAATTTGTATCTTAGATATTTACAAAATAATGTCCGAACGTAAAGAATGACCTGAATTGGTTGGACAAACATTCGATGTTGCATCTCAACAAATTTTAGATTTTGATAGCAGTACGTTCAATCATTCAATTTAAATCTACATTCACTAAAAATCTATCTGTTTTCTTCATAGGTTTAATGCCACATAATGCAAGGAATGGAATTCAAGATCGAATGTACATGCCAAATCGTGTTGTATGTGTCACAAATGATGACGATATTATAATGAAAGTTCCAGTTCATAATTATCAATAAAACTCGTCAATGATGATATTAACCTGATTCATATATGAAACATATTTTATTGCTACTTAGAAAAGACACATTTTTTTGTTTAGTTTATTATAGTATTTCAATATAAACAATCTATTTCTATTTGTCTTGACTGCTTATTTTATTCAATTATTAATTTAAAAAAATAAATAACTGCTTTTATTAGTAGCTGAAGAAATGATGAAGCGTGCTCTACACAAGGCAAAGCATGTGTTAAATGCGAAAATGGAATGGCATCATGTCAATCGTCTTGCCGTCAACTCAAATTAATCGTATCACTCGTGTCTCATTTGACTATTTTAGTAAATGCTGAGGTAAATGTGGCAATCATTCATTGAAAAAACATATGAGAGTATGAATGTGATGTAATTCTTGCATATGACCACCTTGTTTTTCTATATTAAATTGACAAAACTTATTTCCAAATGTTGTTTTTAGTTGATATTTTCTCTTTTCCAACTTTTTTTTCATTATTTTAAGTAATTTTGATTTATCTTCTTGTCGTTTTAGTACAATTTCTTGTTGAACCTTTTTACCATATCATCTTTGTTCATGTTTTTCAATATCAGATTTACGATTCACTAAATAATCTCGAATCTAAAAAGAACCATGTTTTTAAAATTTTAAACGAAAAATATATTTTTTCTTTTATCATATATTTATCTGATGTGATCACTAGAGTATAATAATTATCAAGTCGTTTTATTTGAATTTGTTTCATGTCTAAATGCGAAATACCTTCGAGAACAGTAGATTGAGCTTGAGGATAATTAGAAGATAAATAAAATTAATTGTTGTATTCGTTTTTGTTGTAATTAATTTACGCAAGCATTTCCAGTTTAAAATCATAATCAGCAAGTGGTTCATCATCATCATTTGTAGATAAATCAGATTGATTAATAAGTACTGGAGTGTTAGTACACTTAACTTGTTTGATCCATGGTAAATCAAGATGAATTTTAGCATATTTAGAAGTAAGTGCTTCCTAAAAAACCTATCGATAACAATATCTTTGAGAACGAAAATACATTGATTTTATTGTGAATTAATGATCGCTTAGGTTTTTGTTCGATGTTTAAACCATTTATTATCTCATAGAGGAGATTGAATAAAACTTTGTTTCAAAAGCTGACGACAATACAGATGCAATAGTATGAACACTCGTCGATTCCGTGTTGGTATGGGTTTCAAATGACAGAGTAGTATCAAGTCCATCTCTGTTGAATATTCTTTATGAATGATTTCTTAGATTTAAAAATACGAAAACAAAAACAATCAGTTTCGGAGTGTGGGTGTTGTTCTAATCTTTATTCACAACCCACACGCACACCCTCGTGTGATTTTCTACTTCAATCATTCCGATTACATTTCAAAGAAAATGGAAAAGCTAAAGTGTGCTCTCTATTGAGAAAAATAAAGTTAACATTTTATGTTCAATCTGCTGTCAAAGTTGATGAAACTAATTATTTTCTCGCAAAACGATCTATAACTACTACTTGCCGTGATTCTCTTCTCTTGTCAAGTTTTTACATCCAATAATAAAAAAAACAGGACATGATGATACTACTAAGTAGGGCGTCGGTAGGCTCATATATAGATACGAAAAACGTGTCAATATCATTCCTGGTTGAAATAATACAAATATGTTGACCAGTATACGTCGCGAGCATCTGTACTTTTGTGATAAGCTGACCACGCAAATTAGTCGAGACTTTAAATATCTTCTAAGATTCAACTATTCTCCGGAGCCATTAGTGTTCTACTTCAAAATAAGTATCAATTAGACTGAAGCCCGTACGAACTTCAGGCGGTTAAAATGTGATCATAAGAAGATTTGTGAGTAGAATAAAAATGCTGAATTTATAAAATGAATAGCTTCGATGAATTTTCTTATTACAGATACAATCGTACGGCTATAATCGCAGGAATTGATTCATCCATTGCAATGCAATTGTTCATTATGATAGTGGCGTACAGCGTTTTCATGATTCTCCAGATGCATCAAATTCTAAAAATAGTTTTTCAAATTGATTTGTTCGATTATTCAATCTGGTTTTATAGAACACAGCATACATCGAGCATCAAAGAATGTCTCACATGTTGATTACTGAGTAATACTGATATTGGAAGTGTATATTATAAATTTGATTGTCGATCAAGAAGCTAAAACATGGAACTAGTTGCATTCAAATAATTTTCTTTGGTCATCTCATCAACAGCATTTAATAAATCCGATGAATTTTTAAAAATCACATTAATTGCAACAATTTGGTTAGCATTTCATCACTTTCATCCGATGGATGTGATATGCACCGAAACGTGAAATTCATTTCATGGTTTTGGCAAGATTTTTGATCATATCAGAAAGCAAGACAAAAAAACATTAGATAGCTTTTTTCTGCTGTTGCCTGTAGAACGTAACGGCAAACGTATTTAACGTGAGTGACTTGCAATGTTCAGGTCATAATTTACTGAAATTTGATTATCAATAGTTTACATTCGAGCAGATGCCTAATTCGAGTTCGAATATAAATGAAAAATTAAAAAAAAAATCGCACCCATGTTAAAATAGCAAAAAAGCAAAAGAAAAACATTTATATAAATTATAATTTATATAAAATTTTTTCTTTTGCTTTTTTGCTATTTTAACAGGAAAGTCGTGTTTTCATTTATTTTCGAAGTTATGGTAAGCACTTAGCTCTCCATTTATATTCGAA